TGAAAATGTTTGCTGCAGAAAAAAGAGCTGTACTTTTGACACCAATTTTTTTCTAATTTGAATAAGGTGGGGGGGCTGGTTGACCTTTTGACCTTTACATTTTCATTAATATCTTCAAATCCAAAGCAGAACAAATGAAAATCTTTGATGCACAAACATTTGACACTAATTTTGTCTGATTTGAAGAAGGTGGGGGGGCAACTTCACTTATGTCTTTTGGATTCATGGCCCAAGACACACCTGCCGCTTTGTTTACAAGCTGGCACCGCGCTGCGCTGAATCGTGTCACAGGCTATCATGCAAATCTTTGTTGACAGGAATGTTAAGATTTATTGTTTATTATACAAATAATACAAATTCTTACAGTATATGAAAACACAAATGTTTTTTTTCTACCTCCTGCACACCACATTAAAATAAACAAACAAAACAATCCATCTTTTTGCATTTTAATACATTTTTGAAAAAGCTCCAGGGAGCTGCGGGTTGCCCACACCTGCCCTAAATCATCCATTATTGTTTTGTTTACCCTCAGTTCCCATACGTCATGTTTTGTCTAATGAATGCATCAATAAGTTTCACTACAGTACAGACATTTTTTTTCCATCTGTGTCTACTCTTCATGCATCTCAACAAATATATCCTTGAACTCCTTCCTATTTTTGTCTTATTCCACATGTTTAATCTCATTTCTAATCTGTGTATACCTTTTATATAAACCTGTGCTTAGAGAGAACCGTCCTTTCAGTTAAGTTTTCCGCTATAATCTGGAAAATTAATTAATCACCTTTTAAAACGGAAATAAATTATAAAAAATATTTTAAAGCTGCATTGCTCTCAACAATCGATAAGTGCCGCTGTTTTAGTTTCCTCAACATTTTTTTTTATTGCTATATTTTTCCAATGAGCTGAATTTATCTTTGTGCAGTTTATGGAAGGTTAGCAGCCTTTTTTTCAACCAGCTGACCATCAGTGCACAGCAATGGGTGTGGGAGGGGCAGCCCAGCATTGCTCTCTGCTTCATAGAGTCAGAGAAAACTCTGGAAGTCTTACAATAGGATTCTGACCGAAGCTAGTTTGGTTTCTTTTTGCTTCTCTCTGAGTGGATCAGAACCTTGACTTGATACGTTTTTTGTTCCAGGACCGGAAGATGCTCGCCACGGCCCAGCAGATGTTACAGGACAGCCGGACCAAAATCGAGCTGCTGAGGATGCAGATCATTAAAGTCAGCCAGGCCCGAGAAGGAGGCGGGTCGATTGGTAAATCCAGCAGCCGACGGGTCCAAACTGAAGCTTTATTATGTTCTGGATTCAATTCAGTTTATTTCT